AACCGCGATTATCTCAGATCACCATTTTCGGAGTTAGGTCACGAATGTTCTCACTAGGCGATATATACTGTACAACTCGAGTGAATTATCCATATCTACTCTTGTTCCACAAACTACTATTTTATGACTGTGAAAATGAGTGAAATTTTTGTGATGAAAATTATTTGATGAAAATTTTTCAGGTTTTTCACTTGATATAAATATATATTATACATAATATTTTATCTATTTTCATAGATTCGCCAGAATTTTTTACTTAACTTCAGTATAGCTCTAGAACTATTATATATTATATGACTAGGGCTAGGGCTTTAGCCCCCCCAGATCTGATGACATAACTTCGCCCATGGTAATTAAAAAGGATTTATACAAATTATTTGATTAACAATAGTTTTATTAATATTGTTTTAAATTAACTATAATAAAATAATACTCATGTCTAAACAAAACATGAAGATCCTCCTAAGCAAGCATTATTTATGTAGTTCTCGCCTTAATTTCTAAAAACATATTCTGCTTCCCATATAACAAGTTCTTCACAACGCATGAATATCAAAAACCGTCAACTTAAATCTATAATTATTTAGAATATAGGCTTATTTCCAGCTGGTGGCTGGACAGGGACATGATAAAATAAAATAACTACATATCCCATCTTCTTCCTACAAATCAGAAATTCTTCATTAATTGTTGGCCTTTTACAACATAACCCATTTAGTAACCTTTTGTGTAACATGTATAACATGTTTCAGAAACATTTTCAGTGAAATATTTGACTAACATATTTCAGAAACTTGTGTTTGAAATGTCATGTGTTTGAAACGTTTGAAATATTTCTGAAACATTTCTGAAATAATGTGTGCTGTATATGGGAATATATGTCTCACTATGGAAAACTTTTTATTATTGATTTGTAAAGAAATATATTCGTGATAAAAAGTTCTGCATGATCCAAAACATAAAATCCAACCATCATATATCATTTTTTTTAAGCCGTGTACGAGGTGTGTCAAAAAATATGATTTTTGACAAACCTCGTACACGACTGATAAATTTTAATATCCGATGGTTGTATTTTAGGTTTTAAAACATGTTTAACTTTTATGAAGAATAGAGAGTTTTAGCAAATGTACAGGGTTTTTCATTATATTTTGACCACTACTTATTTTTATTATTCTTGTGAACACAAAAAAAGTTTCAAGTAAAAGCTTTGTTGTTTTACCTCAACTTTTTCGGCCACAGTATAACATAACCCATTGCAAGCAATTAATTGACAACTTTTAATAACAACTGTTTCACTTGGAAACATCATTTTCATAGCCATCTATGTGTTACGCTTTCATAGTGCAATAAGTCACTAAATAATTAAAATATTATATATTTGTAATCAGGAAATGCAAGTCTACTTAAAATGACAAAAATATATAGGGTGTCCCATTAAAAAAATGAAATTGTATTTTGTTGGAGACGGTATATACAATTCTGCCAGTTATTACATTTTTAGTCGGTACAGGTAAACCAACAAAGATTTTACTCAAAACTTTTTTTTGTGTTCGCAATAATAATAAAAATAAGTAGCGGTCAAAATATAATGAAAAACCCTGTACGTAAGATTTCCGCTAACGTTACGTTAAACTTAGATTGTGACACTTTTCATAAACATTGATCGGGGTAGATTAAAGTATATCCCTAAGGTAACGTTAGCGGATGGTTAGCGGATGTTTGCTAAAACTCTCTAATAACTTTTTGTCTCAAGCGGAAAAGTATAACTTTTCGCTCTTAATACACAAATAGCTATTTTAAATACGAGTATGAGTATAAGTTTGCGGAAAAAAATATAGAATAAGTAGATGAATAAAAGCTGTAAAATAATAATTAATCTTTGGGGGAGGCAGTGGCGTGCGGTGAAATTTTTGGAAGGGGAAGCGATTGTATAAAAATACAGCAGGCCAGTAAGCACAGCGCCGCAGGCGAAAATTTTTCGCGACCCATTCACCATTTTGTCAAAATCTTGTTTTTTTCCTCAGTACTACGGATATTCGAGATTGAGATTTTTGAAGTGTTACTATTACTTTATTACCTAGTTTATTACTAGAAGCTATAAAAAAACTTACCATTGAAAGGCTTTCTTGGTTTATTTAAACGTAAAAAAAACATTTAACTGAAGTTTTTTATTTTTTATAGCATTTTTCGCACAGTTGACACAGAAGTTAACATTTATTTATACTTAAGATCTATTCGCCTATCCTCAATGGTTGCAAATTTGTCTATAACATCGTCGTAAAATTTTGGATTTTCTGATAACCGTTTAACAAGCTGTTTTTCAATGAATATTAGGGCTAAATTAGAGCGTCTGTCTTCACTTGTTGAATTTCGTATAAAACTTTTAATGCACGTTAAAGCTGAAAACCTTCGCTCAACTGACGCACTTGTGGCTGGGATGGTTAGTACTAATTCACACAACTTGACTTCACAAAGGGACTTATTTAAACCAGTTGTTATAAGAAAATTTATCACATTGATGGGCGTCTTTTTATCAATAATTTCAGTTTCATAAACAACACTTAATTGGGAATATCGAAAAAATTTCCATAATTTAATTTTAGTGAATTAAAAGCTTCCGATGGAAATTTTGATGAATCGTAGTTACTAATATTAAAATTGCACAATTCAACAAATTTTAATTCGTTAAAGTTTTGAAATCGAGAGTTCATTTGTTGTAAAATATTATTAAAAATTTCGGCGTATAATCGACGATAAGAGGTCTCTCTGTCACCGACATTATCAATTCTAATTATCTTTCTTTCAGGTTCTAAGCCAATGTTTTGAATCTTATTCCAAAAGTGTTCAAACTGTTTTCGTTTTTTATTCATTTTATTTTTAAAATCATCAATTTTTTTAATGCAAAAGCCAATGTCATTTGACTTTGTCTGTAAAATGTCGAATAAAATGTCAGTAAAAGGGAAAATCTCTGCAAAAATGTTGAGCAAAAAATTCAAATCAAAGTTTTGTTTGAGCCAATACAAATACCCTTTAGCGGCAGTAGGTATTAGTTTCTGCATCCCATGTTTCTTTATTATCCCAAACGTCTTGAAAAAAGTGTATCAAAGAATCACGGTATTGAAACACTGTTTGCACCAAACGTCCATTGTATATCCATCGCGTTGGGGCAACTTTTGGAAACCTTTTTGAACGTGAATGTCCAAAGCGCGAGTTCTTTTCGATGACTTTGAAAAGAAGGAAGCCAAACCACTAAGCGTCGAAAAGAAAACTTTGCTATCGTTAATATTATCCATGCTTCGCGATAAAACCAAATTAAATCTATGTGCTTACAGTGAACGAAAATTCACACAATACAGACACAATTTACCACATTATTATTGTTCACAGTTACAGTGCATAGTTCCTTCATTTTACAAAAAGAAAAACAACTACGAAAAACAAACCAAAATCTACGATTTTCCTCACACGTCGATTCGCGGTGCGAATTGCAATATGCGTAAGGCGACGTAAAATCGCTGCCTCTCGACCGTATTTCACGTTTCCAAACGGACTGACTACTGTCGTGGCAACGTAGAGTCAATTGCACGAAGCGAAACCTTTTGGAAGATGAACCGGCTCTTTCAAGACGCGCTTCCGCTGACGGACTCGAAGTATATGGTGTGTGCATTTACACAATTAATTTTCTCATGGGTGGTGCGTGCGTTTACACATTACACCAATGAATTGTTAGTAGATTTACGAAGTTTACGTAATGCTACAAAGAAAATATAGTACCTAATTTAATATTAATTTCTACGCATTGTAAACTGAAAAATATCTATTTTTAAATCTCAAAGTGTAGGGAAGCGGTGCTTCCCCTGGAGGGAGGGAGGGTGTTGTAGGCAGAATCTATCAGAACACCCAATGTCTTTAACAACGAGTACCTACGACCGCCACTGGGTCAGCCCGTCGAATATAATTAAAGTTAAAGCGCATCAGTTAATTACAAATTTCAAAAGGGCTATACCGATTTTACAGTTGCATGTGGAAAACAGTTAAAAAGCCATCAATGGTTCATCGTAAAATTAATGTTAACGGACAGGAAATTACAAATTTCAAAAGGGCCATACGATTTTGCCGTTACAAGTTACTTTGCCATCACATTTCGTAAAAGGGAGAATATAACAACTTGCAATATTTCAATGTTTGTTGGGATAATATATAATAATATATATCAAATAGTAAAATCATATACTGGGTGTTTAATTTGAAAAAAAAGTTATAAATGTTTAAAGATTAGCAAGTTGGAGCCCCTGTATCTCTTTATCTTTGTATTTACCAAATATTTTAACTCAACTGTCAAAAACAAAATTTAGATTTGTCAAGAACAATTTTTCATTATTTTTCATTATTATTCATTATTTTTCATATTTTTGTCATAAAATGACAAACGCCCAGAATTAAAGAAAAATAAAACTTAGTATTGAACCGTAACTTTTTACGCTAAAATCAATGGTGAAACATATACAGGGTGATTTATTTAAAAACATAGACATTTATAAGCTGTTCCGATGTAACGGGACACCTTGCATATTTCGCAGAATTTTAAAAATGTGCAAAAGAGTAAAGTCTATAGCTTTTAACTAAAACATTTTCTCGTATTTCATTATAATAAGAGTTATTGGATTTCCTTGCATAAATGGACCACCCTGTATAAAAAAAATTAGGAAAATAACCCAAAAGTAAGAAAACTCATTTCTAGCGCCATCTATAAAAAGAAATTAAAACTGTATTTCATAAAAGAAATGGAAGTATTAAAGCATGTAGTAAACCAAGAGAGTTCATTAAATATTCTACCAGAGGGCGCACCCGTTATTTTACTTTTATTGGTCAAGTTGTGTTCTTGAATACGTTCATTCAAACAAACGCTTATTTCGAATTGCTCGAACTCGAACCTCGTTTTATCTCGTTGACGGCTGACATTTTGTTTGATGTAAGTGCGTAGTGCACTGTGCTCTGAATACTCTATGAAATCCGAATAGTTTTGAGCTAAATATTGAAAGGATTTGTGTTCTCGTGTGCGTTTAGTGTTCAGATTTCAACTGAGAGCATATGAATTTGAAATAAATTCAAATCGGCGAATTTCAAAAAAAGAAATTTGTAAAAATAATTCGATGGCTAATATGGAAGAATTAGACGGTTCTACCTCGAATGTTATTTATATCACAGGTAAGAGTTTTTATCATCGATTTTGCTTGTCAGTGTTATGATTACGATAAATATATCACTCCAATTTGAGTTCTGTTTATTTGGAACCCTTTCTTCCAAAATATTTTCTTTTAGAAGTGTAGTGTTGTTTTGGAGCAAATACACCTTGCTTCAAACTTCAGCTTCAGAGTGCTTTAGATTCTACTCTTGTAAAAGATAGGTAATCGAGTTGAACAATCATATTTTAGATTTCGAATAAATATTTAAACAAAATAAATTAATAATGCAAACAATGAGGTTTATGGGTGGATTCTGAGACAATCTATAAGATCTGTAAGCCAAAATCTGTAAAAAATTAGATTATCATATTTTACAGATTCTGTAGCTTATAGGATATTTCCCAGAATCATACCATTAGCTTTTATTGAATTTAAATTTATTTGAAAAATATTTTGTTATAAAATATATACACTATCTGATTTGTAATATTTGCATTGCAGAGGAGCATAGGATAGAATGGACCCATGAAGCTGCAAAAGAGTTGTTAAAACTCTATGATGAAAAATGTGACATGCTCGATTCTGGTATCATAAGTACCCAAAAGAAATTATGGGAATTTGTGTCTAAGGATATGAATAAGAAAGGATATTATTACACTGGTGCTCAATGTGAGAATAAGTGGAAAACATTGAAAAGAACTTATAGGAATAAGATGGACAAAATAGACAAGTATGGGCACAAGAGACCCTGTCCTTTTGAAAAGTAAGCTAGTTTAATTTCCTATTTGGAATAGTGTTTCTTATATTATGCATAATTAATTGGTACATTTTGAATACATTTCCTTTATTCCAGTGAGATAACAGAGATTTTGAGTAAAAGGCCACAGGAAAGTACATTTAATCGGAGTTTCCTTTCAAGCAAACTAGGAAGGCTGAAGAAAAAAGATGATTTTTATTATCAAATGAATTTGAATGACCCACCTGGGTAAGTATGTAATTAAATCACTTATTGGAGAAACCCCATAAGTCACCAAAAGCAAGTTTTGAGAAAATCAATAAAAACTGTATAATTTATCCTAAAGCTATCTTAATGATTCTATTGTGTTTATGTTTCAATAAACTCATAAGCAACCACATATTTTTGCTGAATTAGGTAATATAGAATTGACTATATTCTTAGAAAATGTTTTTGAAAGTTCTCAACTAATAGGGTTTCTCAAATAAATACGATTTTAAATAAAAAAAATGTATTTATTTAAACAAAAACATTCTTTTGTAGTTTAACTTAGAAAAAAAAATGTATATAGTAACATTTTCTAGTCTTCAGTTTCCTTTGTAGGCAATGAATAAATTTCATTCCAGAAATTTTGAACAGCAGCATCATCTGTTAAATATTTTTGAAATGTCTTTAGGTTATCCATTTTTTTTTTTTAATTATGGGTAAAGGGCCTGTATATGCTTGTTCTTCAGGCAAAGGTACACATTTTTCTTTTGAAGTTTGAAAAAGATGTGTGGGATGACAATCCTTCTATAAAATCTCTAGCAGTAACCTTGTTAGGTGTATTTGACGAATACGTAAAATGCATAAACTGGTTTATCTTGAATAACACCTTAAGATCTTTTCGGATTCCCCTTCCCTGAGATTCTGTTGATAAGCAGGTTTTTTTATAATATTTTGGCCACCACTGTTTGAAATCTATAATATCTTCTGTTTTCGGAAATTTAATGGAAAACTTTTGCTTTTGAGGACACTCAAGTATACGTTTTCTGTATTCGTCAAGAGTATATGTATGATCAAATTTTTTCAAACCTCTTTTGACAACAGAAAAGTCACGATCACATGGTAAAAAGGAGTATCCTCGTATTGGAAAGTACTGATTTATTGTTTGGAACTTGTCCTGAGAAACTAGTGCCATAAACAATCTTAAGACTGTATTGTTTTTGTTCTGTGCTAGACATCCATCAGAAAAAAGATGTAAAGTTTGAACATTTTCTATGATGTTTTTCAAATAATCTATCAGAAATGAACAAACTTCATTCAGTCCCTTGGCAGCAATTCCTTATTTTATTAGTTATATAGATAAAACATAGCTGAGTTGTCTTTAAGGTTGTGTATACAAAAAACATTCACAAGTTGTCTCAAATTAAAGGCTTCTTGTATAGGAATACTGGGCAACTTAAGATTTTGCATGTAATCGATACAAATTCCAAAAACAGTGTCATCTGTTTTTATTAAGTTTGTAACTTCTTCCAGTTTCGAATAGAATTTTCGCGCTCTCCTCAGGTGCACCATCTTCTCTGCCGCTGCAACACGTTTTGCATTATCATTTAGAGATTTACTGTTTATTTTAAGTTTTAGCATTTCACATTCACAAAATTAATACAATTAAGTAATAATGATACTTTTATATTTTTTAAATCATATATTTATGTGATTCCATTAAATTACAATGTAGGTATCTTTTGACATGATAAAATTTTGTTTCCAATTTATTTTTGTTTAATTAAAAAGTAATAATTCGTAACTATTTGTAATCAAATGTTATAATAATAATAATAATAATAATAATAATAATAATTTTTATTTACTAAAATACATTATTTAAATACATTAATAAGATGAACACATTTTCTTTTTATTACACATATAAATATGCAGTAGTTATTCAATGTTTACTTTAAGATAGCAAATAAAGATGAAAACACCCACAAAAGGAAGGCCTGAGCATGGGCAATATTTTCATTTCCATTTTTTTTACATGCATTTTAAATGGTAAAACTTTAAATTTAAATAGTAAAGTACTTAAAGTTGAGATTAAGAGCTCAACCTTGGTGAGATTTTTTTTCTATATGTAGATTAATATTTTGCTTGAGCACCGAAAAAAAAAAAAACTTTGTGGAAATGAATCACTCTAATGTTGATCGAATGAAGATAGGCATATCGACATATGCTATATTGAAAGATGATAATCCCACTGCTGAAGTTAGTAATTTTTACCCACAGGATAAAGATGAACCAACAGGCTCACTCCTCGTAAAAGTATAAGTATGCTGACAGCATCCTAAGCAAGCGATTCGCTATATTCTCCGGTTGCTCAAAGTCAGTCGTGTAGCATCTTTTATACAGAGCAGTCGCACCAGAATTATGATTAAAGCGGACGAAACCTCACTTACTAAGATCAAAGGATTTCTTATTGAGTACGCTTGTTGGTCCATCTTTATGCTGTGCTTTTAGCCAACTGACATGAGATCAATTAAGTAGCGGATATTTTGGATTTTTGAGTCTCTTTTACACTGGTTTTATCATTTGTATTATTACTTATTGGTTTTGCCCAACTTCATTTTCAAACCCTCCTACATATAACTTTAAATAATATAAATTCTTTAGGTTTTCTACCAATTAGATAATAATATACCATTGTATTTAGATAGCCTAGTAGAACAAACCCAACTCAGATTATCTTGGAGGACAATGGACAGTAGCAATACATGGCAGCAAGCTCAGTCATGTCTTTGATAATTTTGTCGACTTCTATTGAACCATCGAATGGTTGTTGAAACTTAATAGCGAACGTAATGTCTCTTGTTACTAATAGATGGACCGATAGTCGATTAAGTATGAACAGAATATTTGTTTTAAAAATGAGATATATGAGTTTTATTATTTTATCACCCAAATGAATTTAAACATAAAGAAAACTTTATGTAAATAGAATTTTATACTCAACAAGTTAAATCAACTTCAAAAACTACAAAATCGAGGCATGTACATAATTTTAAAAACTAATCCTCTTACACCAATTGCCACAATATTAAATTCTCTTCAATGGTTTTCAATTCAGCAAAGGTTGTACTACTTGACAATTATATTTATTTATAAAATAATTCATTCTTTGGCTCCATCCTAGTTTCATCAATTTATTTGTTATCATGGGGATATTTATGATTACAGCACAAGTTCAACTAATGATATATACATTAAAAAAGTTAATTATTCCAAATCACAGGCATCTTATTGTATAAAGGTTTCCAAGAATATAATGAACTGCCCAGGGGCTTGAAGAATTGTAATTCATTAGCAAGTTTAAAAAAAAATTGACAACTTTTATTAAAACTGATAAAATTTGATTTTAACTTTTATATATTTGATTATTACTTTTTTATGCTTCTTTTTTAATATTTGTAAGTGTACTGCATTTGTATTTCTATAATAATTTTTTTTGTATATTAAGTTTATCCTACTTCAATAAATATCTATCTACGATGGGGGGGCGGGGGGCGCTAGTGCACGGGCCAAGTTTTGTACTTCTTCAAACTGATGTCGTGACAGGATTACCTTCAACGAAATGTTCCTATGGTTCTACTAGACTAGGCTATCTAAATACAATGATTATACTGTTGTAGGTAATAGAGCATTGTCGTTATCTATATACAGTGCTTTTCAGATAAAAGTATTCACCTTAAGTAACTTTTGAAGGACTGATTATTACAAAAAACAAAAAAATACGTCAATTAATATTCGAAGGGGGAGATATCCTGCCATATTTAAGTTTGCTGAAAAAGTCACCCTTTCACCCCTACTATCATCCCTTCAATTTTTTTAAATGGCTATTGAGCATAAATAAATAATAACGTGTTTCAGGGTTTTTGGATTTTTTACATTTTAAGGGGGGAAAACGGGGGGTAAAAGTTTGTAAGGGACTATCGATTTTTTTGTTCTCTATGAAGTTAGAAACATGAAAATTGGAATTGCACTACTGACTACAAATTATTAATGATGTGTTTCAGGGTTTTTGGATTTTCACGTTTTAAGGGGGGAAATGGGGGGGGTGAAAATTTATTTGGGAGTATCCATGTTTTTGGTTCTCTTTAAAGTTAAAAACATGAAAATTGGAATTGCAGCTAATGAATACAAATTAATAATGACGTGTTTTAGGGTTTTTGGATTTTCGCATCTTAAGGGGGGCAAACAGGGGTAAAAGTTTGGATGGGAATATAACTTTTTTTGTTCTCTTTGAAGTTAGAAACATGAAAATTGGAATTGCAGCTAATGAGTACAAATTAATAATGACGTGTTTTAGGGTTTTTGGATTTTCACATTTTAAGGAAGGGAAACGGAGGGGTGAAAGTTTATTTGGAAATATCGATTTTTTAAAGTTAGGAACTTGAAAATTGGAATTGTAGGTTCTCATCATAAATAAATAATGAAGTGTTTCTTTGGATTTTCACATTTTAAGGGAGGAAACCAGGGGTGAAAATTATTAAAAATTAATAAAAAATTATTAAAAATTAACAAAAATTAATAAAAATTAATAAAAATTAATAAAAATTAATAAAAATTAATAAAAATTAATAAAAATTAATAAAAATTAATAAAAATTAATAAAAATTAATAAAAATTAATAAAAATTAATAAAAATTAATAAAAACTAATAAAAATTAATAAAAACTAATAAAAATTAATAAAAATAAAAATTAATAAAAATTAATAAAAATTAATAAAAATGAATAAAAATTAATAAAAATAAAAATTAATAAAAATTAAGAAAAATTAAAAAAAATTAATAAAAATTAATAAAGATTAATAAAAATTAATAAAAATTAATAAAAACTAATAAAAACTAATAAAAATTAATAAAAATTAATAAAAATTAATAAAATTTAATGAAAATTAATGAAAATTAATAAAAATTAATACAAATAAATAAAAATAAAAAAAAATGAATAAATAAAAAAATTAATGAAAATCAATAAAACTAATAAAAATTAATAAAAAAAGAAGTCGTGTATTTTTTTATTAATAATTAATAATTGTTAATAACACGACTATACGCGATCAAAGTCGCGAGCAAAGCCGCGGGCAATAGCTAGTTTATTTAATAATTTTCTAAAATGTTCCTTCAATTTCCCTCCATTTCCTTCCCATATTCTTTATATAAATATTGCTAAAAAAATTAGTATTGACTATGTTTAAAATATAAGTGCTATATTTTTAAAAAAACAGGTTTATGCATTCATTAAATTATTGCCCTGTAGAAAAGTTGTTAGGTTGGTTGGAAGAGTGGGTTGATTTCAACAAAAGCTTGGTCTAGGAAAATTTTGTGAACATGCAGCATTATTCGAGAGAAAAACGTGCTTTTTGTGTGCGCGAGTTTTACCAAAAATTCTTGCAATTTACATGACATTGCACAATGTCTAGGCATGGGTTCGTAAGTTTGAAGAGACTGGTTTAACAATGAATAAACCAACAATTTAAGAACAGTGGGATGCCCTAAAAGCATTGAAATTGTAAAAGTGTCTATGCGGCAAGAACCAAACTTGTCAGTTCGCAAGAATTCTCAAGAAATATGTATTTAAGCACCCTTACAAAATTCAGATAGTGCAAGAACTGAAGCCGACATACTATGTTGAGAGACTTTTATTCGAAATGTTAAAATTTGTCTCCATCTTTCGACAACATCTTGTTCTCCTTTCCGAATTAATGGATATGTCAATAAACAAAATTTTTGTTACTGGTGTGACAGGAACTCTTAAAAGAAAACATCAAAAGCTTTAGCATAGCCAAAAGTCACAGTTGGGGTAGCCATTTTAGCATCTAGAATTATCGGTCCGTTCTTTTTTTTAAGATGATCGCGGCAACCCAATTACTGAATTCCGAACGTTATGTCCATATGATTTGGCAATTTTTAAAACCTGTTCTTCAAGAATGTCAAGGATTTTATCAGGAAACTTGGTTTCCACAAGATGGAGCCACCAGTCACCCTCCGAATTGCTCTTTTCCTGATGTTTAGGTGCTTTTCATGGAAAACTGATTTCTCGAAGAGACATAAATTGGGCTCCCTAAAGTCCCGATTTTTCTCCATGCTGACTTTTTTTTGGAGGGGGGATATCTTAAAAGTCGAGTATCGCAACTGCCCTACCAATCGGGTGCTTGAAGAACAATATTCAGAAATGGAAAACATAACTGAGCACACTTGTAGAAGTGTGATTGCAAATTTTAGAGAAAAATATACAAAATTTGGACAATACGAGTTTCCCAAGTTTTTTTGTTCAATTTAATAAAAAAAAATGGTCAAAATTGATCGATTGTTTTTTAATTTGAATTCAAATAGTAGAAAACTAAAAGGGACCTCTATCTATCTGCAGTGGGATTCTCATCTCAGTTTCTACCCCCATCAGGTTAATATTCTTGATAAATTAAAAAATTTGTTTGATGGGCGCTTTCACGATTTTTTCAAGTTCTGGATATTGTATCCCAAAGTGCCATTCCTGTTCCTATTTAAGGTTCCGGCAATGGCATACTATGTAAAAAAGGGACCTTGTTACAAGGTATACAAATTACTTCACCTCTACAAGTTCTATTAATATTTCTCCTGTATTTAGTTTTATTTTGATGTGGGCTTCTTTGTATAGTGATAGTTTATTATATGTGTAAAAACATTTTTTTTAACAGTTTTAGTGATGATGGTGAATCGCAAGATATTAAAAATGTCAAACTAGTTCAAAACGCCGACACTACTGACGAAGACTTTCTTCAAAATACAGAGTACGTAGTACAAGATTCAGGTTCTTCCCAAATAGTGGAGGAAATATCAGAATTAAGAAAAGTTGTAACAAAACAGAATAAAGTCCAATCAGATATATTGAGACAATCGAATGAGTTGAATCAGAAGATCGTCCATTATTTGGATGGAGCGACGCAGAGAGAGTGCCAGACTTTAGAATTAGAAGAGACCAGGATGGAACAACAGAATGAAATTATTAAGCAAATGAAGTTACAGAATAATTTGTTGCAGAAGTTGCTGGATAAGTTAGGGTGACTGACGCTGATGTTTAATTTCTAGTTTAATATGAATTATGTTGATTTATTTGAGGATATTATTGAAAAATAAAAATAAATGTTTAAATTAAATATTAAAAAAATCTCATTTGGTAACCTTATTTAAAATAATTCCATCGAGTTTTCTAGATGGAGCAATATGTACAATCATTAGTAATATTTTTGTTCTCAAGCCATTTCAGTGTTTTTTTTCTGTTCTCATACCAGTTTCAGTGTTAATATTATTTAAATCTACGCAAATAAACAAACAATTACTCACGCAGTTTTTATTTTAAAGTATACATAAAGAATATATAAAAGTATAAAAAAATTATTTCTTAGAAAAAAGCGTCCTGTTTTTCGTAAATGGTATTATTGCTATAAAAAATCCTGAAATTACTATCCAAAAAGATGCTTGGTAGAACGACTGCTCCCAAGAGTGGGTCAAATCGAAAATCCAACCTAAAAAATAAAAATCCATCAGAAATTTTTTAATATTTAAAAAATATTGTGAAAATGGTCATTGATATTTAATTTTTTTTTTTTTTTTTTTTTTTTCGAAAAATATTTGGTCAGAGAAACGTATAAAAAGGTCACACATGTTTCTTATTGTTTTTTCTTATGGTTAACTCAAATAGCTTTTTGTGTATTAAGAGCGAAAAGTGATACTTTTCGCATAAAATGCAAACAAGATTTTTTCTACGATCACATTATTTTAAAAAATAGATATAAAAACTTAAAATTTGTCATAAGTAGTGTATAATGTGTTGCCTATATCTACGTTATCCATGAAAAAAGAAGTTGATATTCAAAGTCAATGTTAACTTGGATAATAAAAGAAGAAACATCAAACTAGGTACAAATAACTTCAAAATAATTTATTAAAAAGGAATTATATCTAATTTAAATTAGGCGAGCGACAAAGCTGTCTAGTTTTCTGCTCGGCGGTCGACGAAGCTGTCAGTTAATGTCAGTTCGCGGAAAACGTCAACTTTGCGGTTGAATTTCGAAGCGCAAAGGATAGTGATTGTAGAAAAAATAGATTTTTTCGACTTAAAACTCAGAAGAAATAATGTTTCTGTCTTGTAATTAAGACTAATAGATTATTCAGACTTGGAACTCAGAAAACTCGATTTTCTTAAGTCAGAAAAAGTGTTTTGGTATATAGTTGTATTTTTAGACAGAAATGGTTAAAATATCATAGATCGTGTTTGTACTGAAAATTACAGCTCTTTTTACATTACAAAGTGTACAATGAGAAAAGTTGTTTTTTTTATCACCCTGATTTTAATTTCATTTTTGGATTATTAATAATAATATTTATTTATCCTTTAATATCAATACAGTGATATAGGGCAAGTCATAAATAGGTATAATACACTACAAAATATTACATTAAACCACAAGTAAATAAATAAAATTCACACTAATATAGATATTCGCCAATATTATTATAAATTTTTCTAATAGACCAGACTTAAATCTATTGAATTGAACTATATTTTTGATAATGGATGGAAGACGATTAAAAAAAGTTATTCCAGCATACGCATGTTCATAAGAAGTACTGGAATGTTTTAGAATGCGAAACAATTCACTATTCCTAGTGGCGTAATCGTGCAACCCGCTATACACTATTTATTAAGTTTTTTTTTTTTATTAAAAATCACTTGACCTTACTTATTTGGCAACCCGGTACAATTTAAAAAAATAGGTTGTAATGTGTAAAGTAAATCCAACTTTTTGAAGGCTCTAGATATACACCCAGACAACACAAATAGGTCCATTGGACGTCCATTCGATATACAATTTTGGATGTACAAAGCGTTTTTCTGGGCTTCCGACATCCAATGAACGTCCAGTGAAGTATACAAATGGCACACTTATGACCATTCAGAGGAAGTTCAATTCTGGATTATATTTGGACGTTGAATACTGGACATTCAGAAAACGTCCATTCCTGGATTAAATTCCATTGAGACCATATCTTCACTTTTTTTTACACCACCGCAACTCGCCACACACTATTTTATATTAATAATTTATTATTTTTGCAACCCGCTATACATTTTTTTTTTTAATTAAAAATCGCTTGACCTGAGCAGGTTTTGAACTTACAACACGTCCATTATCGTTCTACGCTTTCAACCGCAAGGCGATCTCGACCAAGGAGCCAATTGAAAACCTTTAGTAGATATGGTTATAATAGAATAATATTTCAAACTTCCGTTGATAGAATGAAATGCAATAAATTAAATTTGTCAATTTTTAATGACCAATTATATTAAAAAAAAAAAAGAAAGTGTATATAGATGGGTATTATCTGGTAGGCTAAATAAATAATCTAAGATGGACGTCCACAGGCCGTCAAAATACTACCAAACTTAAAATTAAGTCCATAAACAGACGTCCTCTGGGTCTCAATATGCAGCTGTCAAATTAATGATAATAAACGGACGTACACTGGATGTCCGAATACGGATATGGACGTTTTGACCCTCAAATGGATCTAAAGTGGACGTCCATTGGACTATATGTGTGCTGTCTGGGTAGGGTGTTTTCACAGCCTATTCATTTATTTTAACAGCTTATAGAACTCTTCAAAAGAAATTGATATACCAAAAATCATCTATAAAAGTGCATGATAAAAGAAATAATAAAAGATTAAAAAATTTATTTCACGAATGTCATTTTTTTCGTGGACACCCGAATTTATTTTTGACGCTTGTAAGGAGTCGTGGCTACGCCGAGCAAGACTTTGCGTAAATCAAACAAATTGGTACAATTTTGAAATTGTTTTGTAAAAACGGAATCCATTTTACTGATAATGGTATTTTATGATTTTTTAAAAATAATTTATAATTGTACCTATAGGTAACTCTCTAATTATGCAATTTTTAGATAGGTGTTTTTTGGTATATCAACTTTTGGCGAGTTCTGAAAGCTATTAAAATAAATGACAACTTTAAAAACACCCTGTATGTCCTGATTCATGTCTATGTAAACCATAATACGATAAGTGGCCATTAAAAAAAGGTGTAAATTGTAAACAATGAGCTGCATCCAAACTGTAATTTTCAGCAAAAACTTTCGATCTGAATTTATAATGTTATAAACCTTTATAATGCAAAGACATTTTTCTGACTTAAAAATGGGAAAAATCAATTTTTCTCAGTTCTATGCCTATGCCACAATAATATTCTATTTTTGTTAAGTAAGAATAATCGGTTAAAAGTCAGAAAAAATTGGAAGTGGAAAAATTATAAAATATTTTGTAACCCTTCTGTGCTTTTGTATTAATTCTCAGCTTGTGTTATAAATTTTAAAGAATTTTCTGCGCATTTTAGAAAGCGCGAAGAAAGACTGTCATTACACCCTAGTATAAAAGTAATAATACAGTAGATTCATTTTCTACACAAAAAAATAAACAATGAGAGGTATCTGATCAACGCGTTTGAGTTTGTGTTTAGGTTTGAATTTGAATCGACAAGTTGTTGAATAAACAACTGAAACATCTTCCATTTTCATATATGGAAAATAACCCTCCAATAAGAAAATTAAATCTGTGATGATAAATATTTTAAAAGTATTAGATTGGTAAGAACTACACAAATTCTCATCCCATCTCGCTTCCTTCAATTCCTAAAACCAATCTTGAAAAATCGTGTATTTTTTCCTATATGGGTCTTGTGATCCCAAATACTATGTTAAGCGGGTATGTTATGTATAACATATTAATACACTACGACCTAAAATATTTATTTTGCCCCCTTATGTTGCTAATGCAGCAAAGGAACAATCTCGATGCCTATAACGACCCTTCCAGTCCTATCTTCTCAAGGAATTGTAGGATTTGGAGTGGCTTCAAGTTAAGTAGATCGCCCTCTTCTATTTGGTATGCTCCTAAGAATAGTGCCCTTGGATTCTGGAGTACTGCACATTCAGTAAAGCCCGCTACTCATAGTACGTGATGCGATGCAACGGTGCGATTCGTTGGTGCAGTAGTAAAATAACTGTTGTTGGACATTTGTCTTACATCGGCGCACCGCCACGACGAATCATTATAATGCGTGATTCGTCGATGCGTGCATCATTTTCTTTGATGGTTTATTCCAAAACCAACATCCAGCGGAATCGCTGCAAAATGCATCGCATCGGCGCACTGATTAGTGCATCAATGCATAACATCGACGTATCAACGAAAAGTGAGTAGCGGGTTTAAGAGTGTGCATGGGGGTTTTGTCCTCAGAGAATCTGCACTCCCTATATTCTACTAACCTCACTTCACTAAGGTGTCCTATGAGTCGGCGATACTCGATAAAGATGCCTGTTCTTTTTTAGACAGATACAGATTTTCGACCCTTTCTAGTTATATTCATCCAGAAGTACCTTTGCTTGTCTTAGCTCCAAGATTTTATTCCAATTATCAGTTCTTCTACTAATTCTTTTTTAATCTCTCCTAACATTTTGTTACAGCTGATACTGCAAAACGGCCCAGGTCCCACAAATTGTGTTTTAGCGAAACTATCTGCAATCTCGTTACCCACTGCATTATTTCCCGGGATTCAAGTAAGAGTAACTGTATGTTTGTCGCCTAGCTCATTCGGTTTTTCTAAGCATCTTCAGACCATTTTTGAGCTGATTACGTAAAAGCTTAACGCTTTGATGGCTGCTTGGCTATCGGATATGATGATAATCTCTTATCTAAGATAGTTTCTAGGCTCTTGATGTTGAACTTGATACACTTCTCAATGGCTAAATTTCCGCCTGGAAGATGTTTGGGTATATACCCAAACTTTCAGAGTGCCTGGTTGTAGGCCCATACACTTCTATTATAGTTCCTTTTATGATTTTGGAACCGTCCCATCGAGATAGAATAAATAGGAGATGCTATGACTAACAGTGTCCGCATCTTTGCATCACACTTTTACGCCATGTGTCAAACTCGAGCTAGTAGAGCTAGTCAGTTATGATGAAAATAAACGACATTTTTTTGAAACAGTTTTATTTAAATCGCCATTTTGATTACATTTTTGTCATAACTCAAAGTGCGTCCTGTTATATCATAAAATAATGTTTATGTCATGCTTGGGTATTTGCCTAATCTCTCAGAGCCTGGTTCTAGGCTTATACACTCCTATTCCAGTTCCTTCTGGAACCATGCCTATAATACTGAATTGCATGATTTTAGGTTGCAACCATGATTGGTTCTTGGCTCCATTGTATATTGCTGCCCACCTCTGTGGTTTTAATGTTTTTTTTACAAAACTCCACTTCTTTCTCATTTCTTCTTGGAGCATATCCCAAGTATATTTGGTCGTGAAGATAATAGACTTTTGTCTGATTATTCTGATTCCATATCGTGTCCTTTTTGCCACATTCTCTATCATTAAATGTAGATGGGTGAGATTTAAGATCATCTCCATTGCGGCTGTAGGATAGGTTCTCATTGCACCGGTGATGCAAACACAGGCTAGTCTTTGTACTTTTGAGATATTAGCTCTCGTAGTAGCTAAACAAGTTCTGTTATTCCAGGCTACAGTCCCGTACGTGATGATTGGTCTCACTGTTGCTGTATACATCTATCGCAGTGTTCGGGTTACACTCCATCTGTTTCCCGCAATGTTCTTGCATACCACTAGAGCTTTTGTGGCATTATTTGCTACCTACTTCCTTCTCATGTACGTTCCAGAGAAGTTTTTCCCAGGGATAGGCTTCGATATTTGACTTCTTTTTTCCATTCTATCCCGTCTAATCCGACGGTTTTGAGATTTAGTTTTTTCCTTGAAAAGGCTACTAGTTTTGTTTTGGTGGGTCTTGTTCCACCTCGCGGCTCGCATCTTCTAATCTGGTCTAGCTCTCTTTGGAATACATTACACAAGACCTTTCCATACTTGCCGATAGCAAATATATATATAACCTTGACAGGGTATGTCTTAAACGTTACCCCACCTACTTAACGACAAAATGTTCGGAAAATTCCTTGGACACGTAGATTTTTATTTCTGATGAAGTATACATTCCACACCTTCTAACCATCTTAATTGTACTTCTCCATAAATTAAAATCGACGCGTTCGAAAAACTATGGCGATAAAAACTTAATGGGGAGGGGTAACACAAATTATGCTCACTATATATAGAGTGATAGGACGCTTGAAAAAGTCCACAGACAAGTCCGAGGGATTAGTCTGAAAAAATGACTTGCTCAAACGCATTTTTCAAAAGTGGAAAAATGTATTGCGCATGCGCGAAATCAAATAATTTGGCTGAATTGCTTACAAAAAGAAAATATAGTTTAAAAAAGAAGAAATGACTTTTGTATTAACAATGTTTTCAAATTTTCGTTTTATTTCCATTCAAAAGGAAAGACTTGTATTTCGTGCAAAACTTTTTAATTAATAAATGCAAAGCGCTTTCGGCCGAAAGCGCTTTGCATTTATTAATTAAAAAGTTTTGCACGAAATACAAGTCTTTCCTTTTGAATCTAAACTACGTGCACACAGCTGGTTATTTTAATTTTCGTTTTATATCTATTTAAAATAAAAACGTGGAAAAATTACCAACAAATCCAAAGTTTTGAAGTAATTTACAAATTATTTGTCTAACAAAACGAAAATATAAATGCAAATATTGTTCCCAAAGTGTTTTTAAAAATACATTCAGGATGGAGAAACATTTAACAGGTTGTCTTCTATGACCAGAGGATATCAAACAGCAGTTTCTGGGAAAAAGGTCAAAATAAAAGGGAACGAAATATTACGTTATACCGTTCTATCAAGTTTTTCTCAAGGTCAACTATTTTTCACTACTTTTTTGGACATGTCCGTCGGACTAGTCCAAAAATTACTTTTCATGGAAAGTCCCATCACTACTATACATTATTACTTAAAAAAATGGAAGTAATTGATTATTTTTTATCAATTATAATTAAAAATTTAAAAAATAAACAATATGTTTGAAACATAATAATAATTATTGATTTGTAACTCCAAATTTTGTGTTAGTAAAATAATGTTTACCTGCTAATGGTGGCCCAACAAGATTGCCAATTCCTTGTGAGAGCAAAAGTAGCCCATATGCCATAGTAAAATCATCTAAAGATACTAGTTCAGCTAGTAGAGACGGCGTTAAACACATCGAACTTGCGAAAAACAATCCGAAAAATCCCCCGCTGGTCAATAACAAATAATAATTTGATGTGAAAAATATCATTCCAGCAATGGTCACTCCACAAAGAATAAGACAGATTGCGTAAGTTTTCGCTATATTCAGTTTGTCTCCAACTATTCCAAGAATTACCTGGAAAAATAGATGAGTTGAAAAAATACGGTATGTTGAAAATTACAGTATAATGTTCACAAAATTGAATATGACCCTATCACTCGAATCTTTCAGCTTAAAAATGGAATAACTTCCATATTTATTAAGCATTTTTAAATATCTACCTACCTACATGTAAATCCTTAAAAATGGAAACGTCAATTCACAGAAAAAAAAGTAGAGTAGGATATATGAGTGATACTGTGACTTGGAATCGTTACTGTGATTAGTAAAATTCAAATTGCCAAGATTACAGTTCATAAAATTTAGCACAAGTCTATTAGACATTATCGCCCAACCCAATTGGACATTCATTATAATGCCGTTTAAGGTTTTACATGTGGGTAAATTTAAAGATGCTTTGTGAATTGGGCTATAATAAGACTCATAACTGGCAGTTGCTTCATCAGTGTTGACCTTTGAAAGTGATACAAACTAGTGCATAAAAGAAGTCTGTAGCTGTGTTTTGATATTCATTAGCTCCATATTAACAAACAAAATGTTCAACAAGTTAAATTATTAAAAAAAACTTACCATTCCAATAGTGTTTGTAATCCCAATTACCGAAATTGCCAATGAAGCTTGTGAATCGGTGTAGTTATTCCTCGTCATGTGCTCAGCCAAATAAAAATACGGTACCACGAACCATATGTCCAATATGACGGTGGATATTGATAATATCAGAAAATGTAAGTTCAAGAATAACGAAAAGTTGGTTAAGTCTTTTAAAATACCCAAAAACTCGTCATACCAATTCTAAAAAACTAATAAAATAGTTACAGACATAATATAAGAGGAGCATTAATGTTGAGATGTATTTTATCTTATAGGCATACTGCGCAAAATAAGGTAAGGTTCCCCTAAATTTGAAAAAAATGTGAATTTAAATCGAAATTGGTAAAAACCAAAATAATTTCTTATAAAAATATATGTTTACTGATAAACATTATTGGAAATATATTCATTATATTTCACATAATACATCAGGCTTGTCCAGCTAAACCAATCAATCTAATTAATAATCCAAATATAAAAGATAATAATTAAAAGTTCCTAGAATAATAAATTGCAATGTATCCATGTCGGCCTCTCTCTCTCTCTCTCGCACGCATAAGCGAAAGAATAGTTTTAAATAAACTACAGTTACAATGACTTAATCCAAGCTTACCGTGCTACGCAGCACGTTGCTAAGCTCCTGGACAACACGATGCACAGTCGAAAGGGAAAGTGCATAAAAATTAAACGTCTGTCTTTTTTTGCAAGAACGATGTGATGTGATTCACATTTATAAAAAGCTCGAGGCAGTTATGCCCTGCACGTGAGCTTTTCTGATTTTGTGACGTATTTGCCTAGGCCAGGATTTTCTGAACAAATTAAAAATTACTACATGTATATTTAGAGTTACTACTCAACGTTTTTGTGATATTATTTTAAAAAATAGTTTTTTAATGTTCAAATAAACAGTGCTAACTTTGAATTGAAATAATACAACATCAACCATCAGTGAAATAAGACAAGTTGAGATATTGATTATTGGAATCAATCCACGCTAGGTATCTGGAATTAAAGGTATACAAGTCTCACTATATGTGCTGGTCTACCAGGGCCATCTTTATAAGGTGTTAACATTTTTATTGTTTTGTTTTTTACAGCTAGCCGTAAGTAAATATCAGTTTTTGATGAAATATCAAATTTAGTCATATACTTAAATTCACCCAAGTTGTTGCAGTCATTTCTAAGTAGATGCAGAAAATACCTTCGAATACTTTTCTAGCAGTCACTTGTAATTGCATGTATAAGAGATGGAGTTTACCAACGACAAATTGCCGCTGAACTTCGTGTAAGCCAATCTCTGTGATTTTAAGAACTTGGAATCTGGTGGCGTAACAAAAATACCATACGGACCCCGTGCACCAATTCAACTGGTCACCAGGATCGCATTTTAGTAAGAAAAGCAATTCGAAATCCACGTTTCCAGTTTTGACATCATGCCAATCTACTGGGCCAGTATATATACCTATTTCAACAATTAGACATCGCTTAAGAGAGATCTATCTCTGTCTCTGTAAGGAGGCGAAGGGTAGATTGCCCCACGGTACTTAAGCTTCACTAGACCCATAGGCATCTTTCCGGAGCCTCTCAGATCGTCAAAAGCTTGCATGTTAATAACATTGCCGAGGCGCTACTAGATTTACCATTTTTTAAAGTGGCCATTAGGTGGGTTTCTATCAACCCGCTGGTAAATGCCCGGATGGAGCTATTATGTCCGCGACCAAAAGTAAGGGTATAGAGAGGTTGGAAGTTAGATCGGTAAAATTGAGAGTAAAAAACACAAAAAAGTTAGTTGCGCTAAAAATAAATGAGAGTGAAAAGGTAAAGTAAAAAGTGGAGAATGGGTAGCCAAATGAAAGAAAGATGTAATTGAGATCTTAGACGGGTTAGTAAGAGTATCAAAACTCACAAGAAACACCATTTTCAACGAACATGAAAACTGGACTACTTACTGGACAGAAATGGCAACGAATATTATTCTCATACGGGCGTAGTCGAGTTTACAGTAGTGATGTGATCATTCCATTATGACTATCATTCGAATTAGTACGATTATGCCTATATTATTAGAATTATTTGAAATATATGAATTTATAACAAAAGAATGTTTGAGATTCGAACGCGAATGAGAAGTTAAAATATGAAGTAGAGTAGGCCGTCAAAATAAATTATTTCCCTTAAGTAGGATATCAATGCAACCCAATCACTCCAATCAGTACTAGTAAGCTAAAATGCTTGCATGATAATAAAAGTAAATAATGATGTATGTCGTTTTAGACTTTGGTGTACTGCGTTCTTATTGGGTAGTTAACAGTCAAGATATTGACTTTTAACACATTCATCTTAAATCATTGATTATGGCAAATAATAAATCATTCGAATGATATGATTCGAATACTCGATAAATTCGATTTTAAACTATCCGAGTAATTCGATTATGCTCATCACTAAGTAGTCTAGAGAAGACTGAGTGAAAAATTCCCTGTAATATAGTACAAAAGACTCGCCATTTTGAAGGAGGATCAATAATGGTATATGGAGGCATCAGATTTAATGCAAACACGGCTCGTTCTATTTCAGGGTGTGAATTTGACGGATTTTTATGACTCCATATATACTGACTTATGTCCAAAATTACGGGGACGATTTATTTTCCAAGAGCATAATGCCCGTTCTCTAGTTGCCAGAGAAGTTCTAACAGTTTTTGAAGGAAACCACATATTGGTTATAGATTAGTTAGCTAACAGTCCGGGTCTAACACCCGTGGTATGCAGGAGACAGATAGAAATGTCAAATAAACTACAACAACTAGCAGATGCTTCACTTCAAGAATAGAAGCATATATAAATAAAGAATTGGGAACGATAGTATGCTCCAGAACTCACAAACACAAAACTAAACTTTGCAACAGAGGTGAAGTACCTAGGTCTCACCTTTGACAACAAGTTAACATGGAACTCGCATTTAGAAAACAAAGTTAAAAGAGCATACATTGCTTATGAACAATGCCGCCGAACCGTGGGGCGCACCTGGGGTTTCTCCCCCAGAGTCGTCGCATGGACTTATACGGCTATCATAAGAACTATGCTAACATACGGTGCAGTTGTCTGGGTAACGAAAACCCAAAAATTAACAGCTATCCGTAAACTAGAACAAATTCAAAGAACAGCATGTCTCAACATAACAGGAGCCATGGTAGTCATTCTTAGTCTCACTCCCCTTGATATTTACATCAAGGAGGTTGCTCTGACGACAATGACACGCCTCCGCACGGTTGGAATAGAACCTGATGTAGGATCTGGTGAGGTGAGACGTCGCTTTTGGCAGGAGGCACTCGATACGTTCCCACTGCTTCAAATGAACATGGACTCCATCTCACCGAGATATATTTTCCATAAGCCATATAAAGTTTTAACAGAACAAATAGAAGAGCCAGAAGTGGCAGGCACGATTCATATCTACACCGACGGTTCTAAAACAAAACAAAGCTCATGATGTGGAATATACTCCAGATTCTTAAACCTAAACATAAAATGGGCTGTGAGCAATAGTGCCAGTATAGTTCAAACAGAGCTAACGGTGATTCTCATAGCAGCAAAAGAAATAACCAGAAACAATATCACTGGAAGGAACATGCTCATCTATACAGATAGCAGACAAGCACTACTCACCCTGAAAAGACCACAAATTTACTCAGGGTTAGTACTAGAATGTCACGAAGCTTTGGCCGAAGTATTCATCAACAATGTGGTCACCTTAAGATGGATCAAAAGTCACGCCACATCTAAAGGTAACCGTCTTGCTGATTCACTAGCCAAGAAAGCAGCCAACCAAATACTTTTTGGACCTGGCCCTTCTATTGGCCTGATAAAATCGGTAGTGACAGACCTAATTAAAGAACATTTCCTTGTGAAATTTAAGGAAAGATTGGATGAAACAAGAAACTGCAGAGTTGTCAGAGAGCTCTTAAGTTACCCTGACAACACTGCAGCAAACAAATACTTGACTATGACTAGACAGAATCTGCGCCTAGTCACAGGCATTCTGACTGGTCATTGCCAAGTACGGAAACATCTCCATATCATAGGGCTGTCAGAATCCGCACTCTGCAGAGTGTGCGAACAAGAAGATGAGACCATCGAGCATATCCCATTTATTAGAAGATTTGTGTTCGGCGAGTATCGGCTAACACCGGCCGATATAAGAGAAGCACCTCTTTTCGATGTTGTCAACTACATTAAATCTGCAGGCTGGCTCACGAGCTAGGAAGTGCCTATCATCTTAGGAATTATGCACAATGGGCCTAATGAGGCATAATTGCCGTGGGATAACCAACACGTTACAGATACAGATGCTAAGTCGATGTCCAAATGTAATATGAGGGCAAGTCGTTACTGAAAATTGTTTTAAATTAAAAAAAAAAATGTTTTTCTTAAGAAATTTCTGTTTATTTCCGAAAATTCTAAAAATATTTGTTTAAAATTATTTTCTGATATTTTTTTTTATATATATCGTATATAGGTCAAATTATCTGCTTATTTAATTTATTATAAGTACTGGGAATATTGTATTTAAATTTGAAATAAATTACTAAAATGTTTTTTAACATCGGCTTAATCCTAAAAATCTTGGAACTTAAAGTTTTTAAAAAAGATGTCAACACTAATTTTTGACTTAGAGATTCCAAAAATTTGTTTTTATTTTTGTTTTTAACTTTACTGCCAAAGTGTCGGAAGATATCAAAGTAGAAAGAGAAAGAGCGGCCCAAAACCACATTTTTTAAGATTCAGACCCGAGCTTTAAAATTCTATGTGCAAATTAATCGAAGATAAAATAATAAATAATGTTTTTGTTTTATTTTTAAATACATGTAAAAAAAAATCTGTTGGACTACCTTTAGTTCTTACCGCTGCAGCGCAATGAATGATTGATTAGCGGCATATTGAATGGTGTCATTTAGAGGTTGGGATGCAATTAAGGATGGAAAATAAATAATTTCCACCCACGTTTTATTCTTCTTGGCAAAATAACTTGGTGACTACTTATATGATTATGAATAAAGGTATAAAAACAATTATTACCTCTTCTTCCCTGAACAACGTTGCCGTTGAATTTTTATAGATGTCCGGGCAACTTGATGCTTTCATTTTATACTTATGAATGTTCAACATCGCTCCTCTGTAACCAATAGAATTCTTTCTAAATCTTATATTTTTAAGATACGATTGTGGTTGTATTTGGGTTTTTGCTTTTACGGAGAGACTTCTAAGAAGTTGAATGCCTCTACTTGGGTTAGTAGTAACAACTTGAGGATTGAGCTCTGGTTTTTCATCTAACATCTGCGTTACTTCGTTTTGTGCAGCTGATATTTCGATTTCTGGAATATTTAGTTTCGTTTCATGTTCATTGTGTATATTATTTATTTCATCTGGTTCCGTTGTTTCTTCAGTTTTTTTCAACTTCATGAAAAATCTTACTGGTACTCTAGAAGTATGATGATTTGGGGCGTTTGCTGCATTCAATCTTTGTTCGGAAGAACTACGAGCAGATAGTATATTTGGATAATTGTCTACTATAATACTATAAATTTGTTTATTTTGACTTAATTGCTTTAAAACTTCTAAAGGCACCTGTAACAAAAATATTTATTAAAGCATGTAAATAAATTAAATTTTGCTACATACTGAAAGGGAAGAGACAAGTTTGTTCCAACAAGAGTTCAAATCCGTCAGACTGTAACGGTTGGAACTGTTATTCGTTATTTTGACACATTCACCTCTACTCAAATGTCATTTGTCGTTTTCTTCTTTTATGATTCATACTGTGAAAATCATTTTTGACTTGAATGTCAACGAATTAACTAGATTTCATGTTAAATTATCTGGGCCATCCGATGTACTAAATAATTTTTATCTATCGTCTAATCCGTCTGATTTTATAAGGTAAGTTTTAATACTAATATATTGTTGAATATACATATATATATATATATATATATATATATATATATTTTATACAAGGTTTTTTTAAATAAATTGTCAAGTTCCGACATAACCTCAATACCTATCAACAATGAGTAACACACATGGATAATTTATATATTATTTTTTTTGGAATAAGATATTATGCTTTACTATGTTTAAATATGTTAAATAAGATTTTTCCTTTTCATATTAATTGTAGTCTCTGTGAAATTATTCACTTAATAGTTTTAAATTGTTCATTTATTAGTTAAAAGCATTTTATCTAAATCCTGTTCCAATCTCCTATTTCCTGTCTTAACATTTTAACCTTTTCTTTTTAGCATTGGCTATATCTAGACGGTTTATGGATATTTATATCTAGATGGTTTATTTGGATCTTTATCGTAGACAGTTTATGTGGATTTATATCTAGAAGTTTTTATACCTAGAAGTTTGGTACAATCTGAAGACCGTGGTTTGGTTCATCGATAGAAGATCCAGAATTAAGAATAAGGATACCGAATCCCTTTGAAGAAGGCCTGAAGAATACCATGCAATAACATTCCTTATTTTATCTTCTGTTAACAAAGATAAGTACAATTAAATAAATCATCTAAATTTGAATTTAGTAAAACTATGTGAATTAGAATTTGCTACTACCTTATCTAAAACTTGGTTTAAATATAATTTGTTAGTGGTTAGTGATTTTCTATATTTTTATCACTATTCTAAATTAAAGTATAGTAAGTTTTAAATATAGTGGTGCCCAACTTCTTTTTCAAAGTAATTCGAGTTATTTAATAACCTGACCCACGCCCAAAACTCAATTGAGCTTAAACACACTATAACAAATAGATAAAATATCAAGTATTACGTTACAAGACTCATGCGCTCTTTTACTTTGAGCTTTCCAACAGACTTAAAACCAAATACCTGACTGTAAAAAAAAGTGCAGTGTTACAAGAAATATTTTAATTTTTATGAATTTCGTATCGGGATTAAAACGTCAGACTGGTTTGTAAACTTTTCTCGGATTAACAGTTTGTCTGCTCAGATCGCAGTTGAAGATTTATTGAAAATATATCATTTTGTTTTGGATTTGTGATCAACATCAAGTGAGAATGATTTAGTACAGGTTAGGTTGAAAATGAGCGGGATGATCTCGCCGGTTTCTACTGCGACTCAGATAGATCTAGTCTAACTTATAGTTTACCATACAAGCCACACTTTTTGATGAAGGCCATGGTTGAATTGGGTGAATCCGAAGATATCTAGTTCTTTCCAAAGCCGAACAGGTACATAGAAGATGTTCTGCGGATTCGTCTTCGAGAGTCCGATGTTTGTTGAAGACCTATCCTTTTCATGTGGTTACCTAGTTACCCACTTCACTCCCGGATCTGAGCAGACAGAGGCGTTTATGGAAGGGTTCCTTGAGTTAGCTTAGGGGTATTTCTCCAGTTCAAGAGTATTACACCGTCTGTCTATTTTGAGATAATTCCTTTGGCGGTTCTCTTTGCATTGCCCAGAAATATTTCTGGTCCTATGAAGGAATTGACTTTCTCTTTTCCATTTATATTAGAAATGTAAAAAAGCCATCTCTTCTATTCAAAGCCTTTTATGGTCCAATGTAAGGGTTTTGTAAAGGTTTTCTTACGAATGGAGCAACACACAATTCTTTTGGAATGAACATTTTTTTTGAACTGTGATTTGATGTTTTAGTTGCTTTAATTTGATTCATGGCTTCTCTTAAATTGTTTAGTTTCCTTTGAAATCTATTTCATTTAAAATTAATGTGGTACCGTAAACTAATTTGCTACTGAATGCATTTAAATCTTCTTTAGGTGTAGTTCTTAAGCCAAATAAAACATATGGAAGTATTTCTGACCATTTTTCAGTAGAATTTAAAACAATTTTTAGAGAAACTTTTAGTGTCCTATGAAATCTCTTAATTAGATCGTGGATGATAGGGAGTTGTTCTTAAATGATTAAATCCCATCAATTTAGAAAATTCTCTAAACAGTTCAAATTTAAATTGTCTTCCTTGATCAGTAGGGACTCCAAACCTACAAATCTATCCATTATAAAACTCACGAGCTACGGATTCTGCAGTTATATGAGTTAAAGGAAAAGCTTCAATCCACCTTGAAAATCTATCAATATATAAAACCATTTGAGTGTTGCAAAGGGCATATTAAATCTATGTTAACATATTCAAATCGATTATCTGGTATTTTAAATTTAGCTACAGATCCAATTATGTGTCTATTGATCTTCGACTTTTCGCACAATTTCGACCACTTTTTAATGTCTGTTTCCATTCTTCGCCAAGCCTATTTACTTTTGATTAATTTAATATTAGCTCTAATTCCTGGATGTGACAAATTATATGAGATTTATTGAAAAATGTCCCTTTTAAAACTAAGTGGAACAAAAGGTCTGACGTTTTCAGTTGACAGATCACAACAAATGTTGTTACTATGTTATTACTATTCGGAATTTGATTTTTTTTTGCTAAAGATGTACTTTCTTTAAATAGCTTTTGCAAATCTTGTTCTTAATTTTGTTCTTTCTCCCAATTTTCTAGATTTTCCTGATTATTTAAGCTAATCTCAAATATCCAGAGAGCGTATCAGCTGTTGTGTCACCTTAGTCACTGCGATCCGGCATCGTAGCTAGAGACACATGGTCCCAACCTATATAACTCTTGTTACCGTTTACAGTTACAAGGTCAACTTATTTTATATCAAGCTGTTTTAGCTGCAAAACAAGCTAAAATGCAGGCTCAGCAGAGCGCAATATTTTGCGTAATGAAAATCAGTTGAATACTATTAAACGAGGTAACACATTCTACAAGGCTCGAACAGATACCCCTAAGACATGCCAATATTGTGGTCTTAGCTATCACCAACGTGAGGCAATCCTGCAAGAAATGGAAAGTGTCGTCGCTACTCAAAAAAGGGCTACTGGGATAAAGTATGCAGAAGTACAGGTTTTAGTGGAAAAGAAGTAAAATCCATTGGTGTAGAACATAAAATTAACATGGACTGTTCTTGGTCCATGTTAATTTTATTAATTTTATTTTTGGGACAAATAAATATTTTAAATTTAAGTAATAACTTACCTTGGTTTGTTAATATACAAATTGAAAATTTTTATAAAACTGTTCCATTTTTGATTGATAGTGGGGCAGATATAATTTGTCTTCCAAAAACAGTGTTACCAAATGTTCCAATTTCTCTTTTACCACTTAAAGAAATCATATCTGGCCCAGATGGTAAACATCTTAAAGTTTTAGGTACAACAAAACTAATTTTAGGGTATAATAATATCAAACATTCTAGCATATAAAAACACCTATATTGGGTCGGCCTGGCATTATAAATCTGAATATTTTACAATTTCCAAGTACTTTGTTGCAGTCTAACAACATTAACAATTTGAATAGTAACATTTCTTTAGTACATATTCATCAAGAATTTCCTAAACTTTTTGATTAGCTAGGTGAATTTAAACAAGAAATGTTGATTAATAATAAAGCTGATTCAAAACCATTTTTACAAACAACGCCTCGTATAGTTCCATTACCCCTTTTACCTAAGCTTGAGGCAGAGTTAAGTAGGCTAATTAAACTTGACATTATTGAACCTGTAGATTAACATACAGAGTAGTCGTTCCAAAAGGTGATTCAGTTAGGATATGTGGGGACTACACAGAACTCAACAAAGCAGTTTTAAGGGCACATTTCCTTTCCCTAAAGTTAAAAGTCCTTTAAATAAACTTAGAGGCTCCTTTATTTTCTCAAAATTGGATGCCAATATCAGTTTTTATTAACTACGTTTGAATAAACTCTCAATCCCTCACTACATTTATCTGTCTTTTCGGTAGATTCCTTTTTAAGCGGTTACCGTTTGGTATCTCATGTGCTCCTGAGTTTTTCTCTTCGAAAATTTCAAAACTTTTTTCTGGATTACAGTGTGTCATATCGCACATCGATGACATACTTGTTCATGCACCCACAGTAGAAGAGCATGACATTATACTACGTGAAGTTCTTACTCGCTTAGAAAAAGAAGGTGTTACTCTTAATGAGTCTAAGTGTCAAATTGAGGTAAATAAAATACATTTTCTTGGTCATGTGGTTTCAGGATCAGAGATAGAAATAGATCCAGCTCGTGTTCAATCTATACTAGATTTTGCAGCTCCTACCTGTAAAAAAGAAGCCCAGCAACTTCTTGGCATGATTAATTTTGCTTCTCGATTTATTCCCAATAAATCTGAAATTGTAGTGCCAATTTCTAGTTTATTAAAAAACGACGTTAGCTTCCTCTGGGATGTTCCTCAACAAAATGCATTTACAATTATAAAAAAGTTACTAAAACTCCTCGTCTGTCATTTTTCGATTAAACTAACAAAATTATAGTTAGTGCTGATTCTTCATCTTAGGATTTGGGTAGTGCTTTAATGCAGGAACATAATAACCAGAGAGAATTAGTAGCTTATGGGTCTAGAACTTTAACACCCACAGAGATCCGTTATGCTCAAATCGAGAAAGAAGCTTTAGCATTAGCTTGGGCTTGTGAGCATCTCCAAGAATATTTGATTGGTATACCTATTATTTTAGAAACAGACCATAAGCCACTGCTTCAAATTCTCCAATCAAAATATCTTAATGAGCTTACCCCAATGCTTCAAAGATTTAGAATTCGACTTATGCGTTACGATTATCAGGTTATTTACACTCCAGGAAAATATTAAGTAGTAGCTGATGCTCTCTTGAGAAACCTCTTAAAAAGTACATCACTTAGTGAAGAATTATCTTCCAAAATGTATCTTGTGATAGTGATGAAATAGTGGTAAATCAAAGTGCGTCGTCAAGTAGTGAACCGGTACAAATCGACACGAATGAAACATACACTGAAAATAAATCGGATATACAGCCAGGAACTAACGATTCCAAAAACATTACTTCTAAAACGAAAAGAATTTCCAAAAAACCTGCCTGGCTGTCCGATTATATTAACTAACAAGCTAACTTAAGGGTTTTTCCATTCTACTGTATTAGTTGTAAGTTTATTATGTTTCATTGTTTTATATTTTGTTTCTTATTTGAAAAAGGGGATGTTGAGTCACCTTAACCACTATGCGATCCGGCATCGTGGCTAGAGATACATGGTCCTAACCTAACTCTTGTTACCGGTTCGAGATGTGGCATGTCGTATTTTCGACTAGGTGTTCTTAGGACTTTTTTAAAATAATAAATAAGTTTATATGTGGATTTGCATTATTAGTGTTGTCCATCTACCTAACACAACATGAGCTACTATATTTTGCGATTACGAAATGTGCCTAATGTCATTGCAATATTGACTGATATAATCTTGGTATCTTGTTTGTCTTGTGAACAAGTTTCAGGGCTCTTCTTAAGAGCGTAGATAAGTGGTTTATGGTCAGTACAAATAACAAATTCGCAACCCTCAAGCACAGTTTATAGCTAAAGAATCAGTTCGCTCACTCTGCGTCGGCACTTTTGATCTCAATGTTCCAGTTTATACACCGCGCAACTGCGATTTGTATCCGTGGCGCGTACAGAATCAAACCATAACTAATCAAATATATGACAACCGCCTTTATTTAAACAGCAGTCATCTGCGCATCCTGAATTTGTATCCCTAGAGTGGATATTATTTTGGAATATTCAACTGGCCAAGTGAGCTAACTGATTCTTTAGCAATAAACTGTGTCTCAAGCATCCAGCGGAAATTTTTAACACTTTCTTAGATAGCTAGGAGTTCTCTGTCGTATGTGCTGTATTTTATTTGAGTATTGGATAATTTTTTTGAAAAGAAACCTAGTGGTTTCCAAATTATATTATTGTTAAACTGCTGCAATTAAAAGCATTTCCTGATTTTAATAGGAAAACTACAAAAACATTTTAAAGGTTAGAAATATTTGCGGTAAAAAAATTTAAAAGAAAGAAATAGCCTTTAATTATATCATGCACATTGTTGTCACAACTTTTAGTTGTGTTTAATAAAACCGTTTCAAGATTTTAACAGCAGCAAACGTGCTAATAGTATGATTGGCTGATTTTTTAATTAAAATCGCTTATCCTTACAAATTCGAAATCAAACAACGACATTAATTAACTACTATGCTAAGAAGATGACGGGGATTGTACAAGTACGTCCCCTCGCTCTTATAATCGTGGACACAGTTTTCCTTGCCTTTGTGCGTTGGTGACAGGTTTGACTGTTTGAGTCCTAAGTTTGTTGGAACACCAATTATATAATGCGCGAATCCCGACATACCAGTACGTAAACCGATTTTGTACTATGTTGGAGCAAACCTACAGTAAATGTAGGTGATTAAAGTACGGAGTCATATTAAGAAATATTAAACTATTAAAACTGAATGTACAGGTATAGGTTCTAAAAAGTTGACCAAACAGAAATTGAATAAACAAAAAGCAACTTACTTCTTCATTTTGTCTAACAAAAGTAGGCAGATCTACGACTGACTTAAATCTATCCTTGTCAGACAAATCCAATGTGGCGTCCACGTCTTCTAATAAGAAAAGTGTATCACCTCCTCCTTCTAGAGCGTGTTTTATTTCTTCAAGTTGTTCGGTGTCGATGGACGAGGCACTAGATTTTCGTCGTCTTTTCTCCCTTTTTAACTTCTTTTCTTTCTTTCTAAAGATAGAGAATTTCGTAAAATTACCTAAGGTATAACGAGTTTTAAAATATTTTCATATTCAAGTAATCGGTCTAGGAAGTTTCGACGCGGTATTATTAGTCATGGTATTCTAACACGTCATATAAAATTTCATGAAAAAATGATAAACGGTTTAAGAGCAACGTTAAAAAAATTCATTTAAATTTTTATCTTATACTATTTTTGGGTGCACTTTTGTATATAGGTAAGTACGGTTTAATCGACCTATTTTTGACCCAAGAATATGTGGTATAATTTATGACCAATCTTTTTGAAACACCCTGTAGAAGTTTACTCACAAAATAACGAAATACAAGTAACATGTAAAAAAAAATGTTATTAAATATGAATTAACTGATTGCTGCTATAAGCTAAAAAGAAGGATTGCAAAGATCATTACCTATTGAGATCAGGGGCGGTTTCTCCATTGGTTCATTTGTGCAGTGAACACCCCTTTAAATTTCATGAAAGCACATTATTTTAAAATCACATATAAGTAACTTAATAATATTAATTCACTTTAATATATTTATTATTTTCGTACGTATTAATCTCTACTTTCTTGGTACCCCACTGCGCTGATCGCGTCTGTCGGTTTAATATGTCTAGTGAACGCGAGAGGTATCTGAGAATGAGTGTTAAAAAGCCAGGTTAATAGATCCGTGAAACAGCAGTGTGCCTGCTTGAAACCACGCTATTTTTAGCATCATTTTGTGCATCGCACATAGATTACGTCACGACAGTTAACTTCGCTTGGTCCAACGATTAGTTGTTGTGCTTCGTCAAGGTCACTCTGACTAAATGTCTTTAATTCAACGTTGCCACATTTGGCAGATTTCTGCTTTTTTGGTAGGTTTTCATAGCGAATTCGACTCAAATGCTCTTGCTCGATGACAAAGCGCTTTCAGTTCTGAATTGATTTTGGGCAGCATTTTTATAATTCAAATTCATATCTAGCAGTGCCACAGTTTATAGCTAAAGAATCAGTTCGCTCACTCGGACCAATTGGATGTTCCAAAATAACATCCACTCCAGGGATACAAATTCAGGATGCGCAGAAGACTGCTGTTTGAATATAGGCGGTTGTCATATATTGTATTAGGCATTCCAAGCAAATGAACTGTCAGTGGGAAGATTTGATATATCCAAGGGTTGCGACATACAATGTTTTCTGTTTACAATACGTAAAATCATGAATAATAGATTACATTTAAATATTTTATGTCAAACACAATAAAAATAAGATACATTTTTTCATAAATTGGCAGGCTCTGTGACTATTATTTCGAATAAAAAAAAAACGTTCAAGATGCAAGACTTATATGTCTCTACCCTCTTAGATATACCAGACCTTCTCACTGACAGCTATTGTTAATAGTAAGAGAGCCCACTGCAAATTACGACCGCCATCTGATAACAAAATGAAATATGCTCCAAAGACATGTAACAACATTGTACTTTACCAAATTGCTCCTGTGCCAATCTGTAATCTAGAGCAAAGTGGTTGAAAAAAAATATTTTATATACAAAAAATTACATGAGACATGACAGCGATAATTGTGTTTTCTCTGAAAATGACAATCCTAATTCATTGTGAACCTAGCTTTTAAACCTGAATTATTAATATTTTTACCTAACTTTGGCAGAGATAGTCAATAATAATTATAAACTCTTGTTAGACAATTCTTTTAAACTATAATCATAGTAGTTTTTTTGTCGTTTCTATGACAACCTGTAAAAATGAATCACAACAATAGGCATACAAATAAATTCTTAAATCAGCAAAAATTGATTCATATTTTTAATAATTTTTACCTACTAATCGTGTGTAGATGTTTTTGTGCGATGTTAAGAGGAAGAAAATGTTTCCCGTTACCGATATATATCAAGATATATTTGAATATGTTATTATCTGGAAAACTTTAAGGGCAAACAAAATTAGCGCTGTCATGTCTTATGTGATTTTTTTAATATAAAATATTTTTTTTTAAAAACTTTGCTCAGGATTGGGATTGTCACAGGTGCCATTCGGTAAAGTACAATGTTTTTACAAGCTTTTGGGGTATATTTTATTTCATTATCAGATGGCAGTAAAAGTTTACAATGGGCTCTTGGGATATTATGATTTGATTCCGTATGCGCCAGGGATACAAATCCGAGTTGCGCAATGTATAAACTGGAACATTGAGATCAAAAGTGCCGACGCAGAGTGAGCGAACTGATTCTTTTAAGCTATAAACTGTGGCAGTGCACACATCAAGCACGAGCTAGAGTTCGACAATGGTGTAGCCACACACTTTGATTTTCTTTTACTATACGGAGAATGGTCGCACTGCGCAGCTTTCTGAGTGCCTTTTAAAAATCCGCCATTTTGAACCCTTATTACGTGTTGCCTACATCTTGGCGCAATATTTTTAATGGGTGCGTTTTAATTGTCCGCTTCTGCTTCGGAATTGTCGGTTTTCTTGTTTTAATCTGACAGGTTAGAACGACTGAACCGACAATTCCGGAAGCAGAAGCGGATGATTAAAACGCACCTGATATTTTGCTTGCTGCTGTCAGTGTCAGTGAATATTATTTTTGGAGTCACAGTTTATTGCTAAAGAATCAGTTAGCTCACTCGGACCAGTTGAAAGTTCCAAAATAACATCCACTCCAGGGATACAAATTCAGGATACGCAGAAGACTGCTGTTTTATTATAGGCGGTTGTCATATATTGTATTATCTGAGTTGCGCAGTGTATAAACTGGAACATTGAGATAAAAAGTGCCGACGCGGAGTGAGCGATCTGATTCTTTAGCTATAAACTGTGTCATAGGGTTCAAAATGGCCGCGCCCTATGTTGGGCGTGTCGGACCTCTCTCTTGCGCCGTATAGTAATCAAAGTATGTGGGTGTAGCGCATCTTTATACTTATTCGACTGGCACAGTTAGCACTTGACATTTTAGGTTTATTTATATTTGCCAAACCAAAAATTAAATCTCTATCAATTTCAAAGATTTTCCTTTCTCACTAATAATAGAGACAAAGATGGTAATATATTTAAAGATATTAAATAAATCCTAACCTCCAAAATGACACTGGCACAGTTAGCACTTGACATTTTAGGTTTATTTATAGTTGCCAAACCAAAAATTAAATCTCTATCAATTTCAAAGATTTTCCTTTCTCACTAATAATAGAGACAAAGATGGTAATATATTTAAAGATATTAAATAAATCCTAACCTCCAAAATGACACTGGCACTGAAAAAAAGTACAGTTCCAAAAAATTCGAACTTTGAGCAAGGGTCGCCTGCCAGTCAAACAAAAATTTCACTATGCCTTGGTACTGAGCAATTTCAGTCGAATGCAATAATTTACTTTTAATTAATTAGGTTCTGCCAGTCGAACAAACATCACTTAAAAAAGTCGAACTAGGTAAATGCGCATTAATGCAGCCAGTCGAATCCGCTATCAGCTATTTTGGCTAGTTTTAGTAGACAATTTTCTTTTGGTATCTTTCAGTAGATTTCTATAAATTAATAAAAAAAATCCAATTACTTCAATAAAACTTCCTACTTAAATAATTTTGTTGCCAAAATGGATTGCTAAAAGCATTAAAGCTGAGCGATCATCAAAATAAATAATCAGTTATTTTCGTCTAGTAGATTACTTAAAAATAATCGATTCTTTATGATTTATCGATTATTTTCGATTAACGTATTATTTTCGATTATTCGATTCTTTTTGATTCTTTTCGATTATTTTCGATTCTTTTCGATTCTTTTCGATTCTTTTCGATTCTTTTCGATTCTTTTCGATTATTTTCGATTATTTTCGATTCTTTTCGATTCTTTTCGATTCTTTTCGATTCTTTTCGATTCTTTTCGATTCTTTTCGATTCTTTTCGATTCTTTTCGATTCTTTTCGATTCTTTTCGATTCTTTTCGACTAATATTTTTTTCCAATAATCGACTATTTTTATGAATCGATTATTTATGTATGACTAGAGTACAGCAAGTTAGTTAATAATTGTAGTGTTTGAAAACAGTATAATATTGTAATCGATTAATCAAAATCGAATATAGTATCTCTAAAAAATCGAAAATATCCGATTAATGTAAAATAATCGATTTTCGTATTTTGTTCGGGGTTTGCAGTGCATGTTTGAATTTATTTAATACGATTGCTTTTACTTATAGTGTGAATAAAGTTTTAAACAGTTCTACTGGGCGAAATTTGAACAAATCCCATTATTTTCATCTTGGCTTTGCAATGTCCAGGGTGGGTATAGTGGCTTCTGTATAGTCACGTAATTTAATCAAGAATTGCTTCACTAAAAGTGCAAATGTTTGTGCGAAGTATGAAAAGCATATTCACTGGCAGCTCTAAGATTTGTCCCCTCTAAAAACTAATCAAAACAACAGGCAAAACTTTTGCTTTTTTAGATTGGCAAGTTCTTCGAAAATGTCACGAGTTTCAGTTGAAATAAAAACGGCAGTTTCTGCGCTTGTACCATTTCTAGTAATGGATAAGCTAAGTGATGGTATCAAGCAACCTTTTCATGACTCAGGAATCTTATAAAAAAATTAGGAATTTAATTGTATTAAAAGGGACGATGCCAAAGAAGTTTTGGGGGATATTGACAAAGTTTCACTTATGCTAAAATTATTGGAAAAAATGAACCCCCATTTTAAATTACCACGAGCCGCCACTGATTGAGATCCCTGATACACAGTGATTTATTATTCCAGCCATGTATTCCATCGTTTCTTTACACCTTTTTTTTAATACGCTTTTAGTTACTTCAGCCTCCACATATGCAGCAGAACTTCCGTGACAATGCTCGTTAAATTTTTTAATAATCTGAATCGGTATGAGTCCTTGCCTTACAACGTTGTTGTCCAAAACTATTTTGTATACGAGCTTGTTTTATCAAAAACGTACAAAAAACCGCCATCTGAGAATTTGTCTTCCCTTTTTGGCTTGTAATTT